GTTGGTAAAGGCTTTGGGAAAGAGCGAGGGAAAGAGTCCCCTGAGGGCCGAAGCAGTGGAGGAGAGCTGAAGGAAGGAGGTGGACTTCGAAATGGGCTTTGAGGGTTGTCAGCACCAGGAAAAACTGAGGAACAAACCACAGTCCAGAGGAGGGACGGAGGCAGATGGGGAGCTAGAAGGAACTGAAATCTGAGGCTCAGAGCTTCGCCCATTCACGTGTGGCTGCAAAACGGAACCCTGCAGCACTCTCTGGAGGAGAGGCATCAGGAAGGCGAGTGTACGCTGCTCCGGGCTGCTGGCACTTGGAGACAGCCCCGAGGATGCAGGCTCCTCCCGGGAGAAAGGACAGGGCATGGTTCTCTCCACGTGCCCTTCACTTAGCTGGAAGTCCTCTACCCCAGGCGGACTTCTCTCAGCACACGGATCTGCCTACGTGTAGTCTCCCCTGCCAGAATGTCAGCTCTTCTGGGGCTGGAAATGTGTCTTTTGTATCTCGAGTGCTTGCTCAGTGCTTGGCATATAGAAGGCTCTTAATGAATGTGTGTCACATGATCCAGTGAATGAAACCAAAGAACGAGAAGCAAGACATCAAAGAATAAGGTGCACGGCCACCTCTCCAACCCTGAAATGTCCCCCCAGGACAGGGAAAATGACAAGGGCATCAATGCACATTGCACGAAGCAGCCATGCAGATGTTGGCACAGAGGAACACCTCACATGGGATGCTGGGAAAAGGAAGTGACATCCCAAAATGGCCAGAGTCAGAGGCCTAAAACAGCCCCAAAGCCCCCAGGAGACGGACCCAATGCATAAGCTCTCAGAGCTCTAGTGAGTGTCCTGGAGCATTCTAGAACTAGAGTCAGGTATAACCCCTTCCCTGGATACATGGTGCAGCTGAGAGGCTCAGGGCGCCGAGGGGACTTGTGTTCAATCACACAGCTAGTCTAGCGGCACAAGCTGGACCAGAACCCAGGTCTCCTGACTCCCCGTCCAGAGCACCCTGGACTAGGAGCCGAGCTGGGGCTAGGGAGAGGTGGGAGGGGCACTCGCCGGGGGTGTAAAGTTTAAGGAGGCGCCAAAAAGCTCAGGAATCGAGATAAATAATATTTTGACACAATATTTTTTTTTGAAAGATTTGCCCTGAGCTAACATCTGCTGCCAATCTTCCTCTCTCTGTCTTTTTTCCTCCCCAAAGCCCCAGTACATAGTTGAGTATTCTAGTTGTAAGACCTTCTAGTTCTTCTAGGTAAGCTGCCGCCACAGCATGGCTACTGACAGACGAGTGGGAACCAGACCAGGCCGCTGAAGCAGAACACACCGAACTTGAACCACTAGGCCCTCGGGGCTGGCTCTGATATGATAATTTTTAAAAAATAAAATTTAGTGCAGAACAAATCCCTGATGAACAAAATATCAACTTGTAAAATAAAGACTTAAAGAAAGTTATTCCTTTGCATGCCTCAACCTCACCTGCTGGACCCCAATCCTGCCCAGGAGTAGGAGTCCTGAGGTGGCCGTTGACTGAGACCCAAAGGAACTGGTTATGTGGAAGTCTGCAGGAAGATCATTCCAGGCAGAGGGAGGCAGCTTTCTTGGGGTGTCCGAGGCACAGAAAGGAGGCAGAGTGCCTGGAGCAGAGTGACTGCAAGAGAGGTGGTGGATGAATGTCCCACGTCCCCATCCCCACCGCGACTCGCAGAGCAGTGCTTTTCCTGCAACAAGCCATGCTCAGGGACACCCAGTTAGACTCCCTGCCAGGAGAGCTGAAGGAGAAAATGCCCCCTACTCCCCTGACTCCCACATCCCCAGACTCCTCTCTAACTCTCACCAGTTGTCTTGCAAATCTAAGCCTTTTCATCGTGAGGGGGAGAATGGACAAAGAAGCTTGGACAGCTCTGGACAACCCTTCATGCCATGGAAAAACAACCCAGGACTTTATGACTTCCTGACAGTTGGTTATGAATGGGAGGAAAGCATATTCTTAAACTGCTGACAGTGACTCCCTTTTAAGGTATTTCATCCGGGCCAGCGAGGCCACATCCTCCCCCTGCCCCCACTACTAATAGCAGCTGGTTTTTCAGTGACAAGTTGGGCTTTTAGGTCAGACAGGCCTGGGTTCAGATCCAGCTTTACCATTTACTGTGTGATCCTAGACAGTTTACCACGATGAGAGGGCAGCACCTCCTGCTTCCAGGGGCCCGGTGTGACTTAAATGACATGATGTGGGCTGAGGGGCAAACCACAGGCAAAGAGGGCCACGACCTAGCACCAGCACACCACTCACGTGAGGATGTCAGCCAGATCTCCCAGTGTTTCAGAAGAAAAAACTTTATGTGAAATCTCCCGATTTTTAAAGATTGGCAAATAATTCAAAATTCTAAAATATTTTTAGCCAGAGAGCCAAATAAAAGAGGTCTGCGAGCCAGAACCCACTGACTGGCCCATTCTGTGCCTCTGACGTCTACAAATCACCCAGCAGCCCACCCAGCACCTCGTACATGCTCAGCAAGCATCCATCGTTCCATCTTTCCAGAAAACTCTCACAGGCATCATCAGCATCCCTTTCCACATAACAGCTTGGGAAGGGATGCTTCTCAGGAGGGAAATGAAGATGCGAAGAGAAGAGCTGAAAATCTGGAAGGCTCTAAAGGGAGGGAGAAACTGCAAAGAGGGAATTCCTTAAAAGGATTTAAAAGAATTTTATTGGACATAGTTTAGCACAAGTCAGGGATAAGATCAGGCAGTAATTTAACTCCCAGCCACAGCAACTGAGTCTGTGCACGTGGGGGGTGCATGGGGGCGGGAGGGAGGGATCGTTCTTACTGATGGGCTCCACCCAGTGTTTCCGGGTCTTCTGTCCACAGGTCACCCCAACATTTGACTCAGGCACACAGTGTTCTGAAAGGCCCAGCCCCCAGGGATAGCCCCTCTGAGATACTCACAAGGTTCAGCTAATCCTACACAATAGGAAGCAAGGCTCTAGTCCACAACGGATCTGGTAGCTCATGGGAGCTCTGCAGTCAGATCCAGCTGGGTTAAGTTTCAAGTCTTCAACATCAGTGGTTCTCAAAGTGTGATCCCCAGAAGAGCAGCATCAGCATGCTGCTCCCCAAACCCACCGAATCCGAAACTTGAGGGGGCAGGGGGCAGCCATCTGGGTTTTAACAAGCCCTCCACAATGAAGTCTGGGAACTCCTGCTCCACATCCTCATCCTGTGGGCTTCTGCAAGCCCTATGTCTCTCTGAGGTGATCAAGTCTATCCCACAGGATCGTCCTGAGCGTTCCTACAGCGTTTATTTCAGAAGCCTGGTCTGTGTTCGCCTGGCAGTGGAAGATGCTGGGGGAGAGCACATAGCCCTGGCCCTGATGGAGCTTGACGGCCTAGTGGCCAGACAGACAACAAGCAAGGAAAAAAGATACAAACGCCAATTTTCAGACAGAAGAAGGCAGAGACCTGATGCACCACCTAGAGCTGTGTTTCTCAAAGTGTACTCCAGGGACCACCACACCGCGAAAGCCCACACGCCCTCCCCAACACCCCTCTCTGAGGTCCCTGCTTTTGCTCAAACATGCCTCCTCTCTCCCGCCTCAGGGCCATTGTCTTTGCTGTTCCATCCACCTGGAACGCTCTCTCCCCAGATCTTCCAAAGATGGGCTCCTTCTCCTCGTTGAGGGCTCAGTGTAAATGTCACCTCCTCAGAGATCTACCTAAAGTGGTCTCTCCCCTCGCTCTGTACCTCCCACCCTGCTCTGGCTTCTTCCTTGTCTTTCTCACAGACTGCAACTGTGCGCTTTCGCGGTTTTCCTGGTTCTGCCTCTCCCCCAACAGCTGAGTTCTTGGGGGCAGGTCCTTGTCTGTCGCGGTCGCCTCCACAGCACCAGTGAGCCAACGTTTGCGAATGAATGAACGCTCCATCCCTAATTCTCTTCATGAAGGCCCAGAAAGAGTGGGCACTCACAACTCCGGAGCCTGCTCCCCACCCTTAAAAAGAAGGCCACAGGCGGGACCCACAGCAGGGCTTCTGCACGGCCTTTCTTGGTTCTCTGATGGTGGAAAAACGCGGTAGAGACTGGAAGGAAAAGAGGAAAGGAGGGTGCGAGGCAAGCGACTCTAAGAGGCCGGCTCTGCGGTGGCTCCCTTCCGGACAGAGCCCTCCAACCCAACCTCAGCAAAAGCGCGACTCCTACCAACTCCGGGGCAGGGCGGCGCTCCCAGCCGGCTGCCTGCGCTCCGGGCGCGGGACGCTGGGATCCCACGACCCATTCCGAGTGCCCAGCCTGGGCCGGGGTGCGGGCGGCTGGGCCACGCGGACTCCGGGGCGGTGGCGCATGCGGGCCTAGAAGGAAAGGCACCTGGCGTGGCCCGTGCTGACCCTAAGAAGTTGACGTGGAAGGCGCGTGCAGCCCGGGTCCCGCAGCAGCATGAGGGGCAGAGGGCAGCGGTGCACTGGGACCTTCAGGGAAAAGCACAGGACACCGCGCGTGTGGCCCCGCGATGTAGAAGCGCGTGGAGGACGCGGCCCCCGGACAGCGGAGCATGGGGACTTTACACGGCACGTGTAGACCCTGGGACAGTGGCGCAAAGGGTCCACGACCGGCGGTGCCCTTAAACCGCCAGGGATAGCACGTGATATGGCGCACGACCCCAGGAGGCTGGCGCACGAGGGGCGCGTGCAGCCCCGGGGCAGCCGAGCGCGGGGACCTGAAGCGCGGGCGCGGGTGGGCGCAAGGGCAGCGGCGCGCGGGCGGGGGCAGGAGAAGAAGGGGGCGGCAGGGGGCGCTTCGCGCGTGCAGCCGGGCGCCGGGGCTCTGGAAGGTGTCGCGCGGAGCCCTGCCCATGCGAGGGACCGGGCCGCGAGCTGAGCCGCCCGGACGCCCGGTGCCCACGCGCGTTGTGCCTGCCGGGGCTGCGGGGCGAGGCCGGGCGCCGGGCTCTCCGCCCCCTCTCCCCGCCCCGCGCGCAGCCCCTCCCTCCGTCCCGCCTCCTGCCCGGCTCCCTCCCTCCGCGACTGGCGCGCGGCGCACTCGGAGCCCGGCGGGGACCGGGGCGCAGAGGCGGGCGGCCCTGGGTCCGAGGCAGGAGCGGAGCTGGGCCCGGGGGCCCAAGTTTGCCCGTGGCTCCGAGAGGCGGCGCGGGCGCGCCGGGCGACTTCCAGCCCCTTCTCGCGTCCTCGCCGGGGACCCGGTGGCAGCCCGGGGGACGGAAGCCGCGGCACGGCCAACTCCGAGGCGGGGACGCCGCGACGGGAACTTGAGGTGGGAACTTGGCGCGCTGCAGCCTCGCCGGGCGCCGCCGAACCCCCGACCGGCCCCCGCGCATGCAAACTCGGGCTCGGGGGGCGCTGCACGTGGCTGTAGCCCCGGGCTCCCCTGCGGGGGCCTCGAAACCCGCCGAGCGGGAAGGCTAGGGCGACAGAAGAACCGGGGACAGCTGCGGGAGGCGGCGTGGGGCGCGCTTGCCGAGGTCACGGTGCGGGTCCAGCTTCAGTTCTTCCCGAGGGGTCCCCGGGGCTCCAAGTGCTGGACGTTCGCGGCCGCGGTGACCGGGCGGGGGGCGCATCCTGGCTGTGGCGGAGATTTCTCGCCGCCTGGCTGGATCCAGGGAGGGGGGAGGCGGAAGGGGGGCGTCTGTCACTCGCTCATTCACTCTATCCTTAGGCACAGAATGGAGCATCCCCACCAGTGGGCTTTATTGAGTCATTCATTAACTCAACAAGCTCTTATTGAGCGCCTACTGTGTGCTAGGCGCTGGGGATTCCGAGACAGCTCTGTTCACTGGAGGCTCCAGCCTCTGGTAGGGAAGGTGGGTGGTCGCCTCCTCAGCCTCGGAGCTTCAGACCTCGCGGAAGCGGCTCAGTTTGAATGGATGGGAGCCTTTGAGTGAGGAAGGAAAAGAGAGAAGAAGTTCATCCATTCATGGATTGGACAAAGATTGATTGAGCACCTACTGTGGGCAGCTCAGCATGCATGATTTCATTCATTTCGCAAACAGTTCTTGAGGCACTGTGCTGGGGAGAGAGCAGTGGAGGAGAAGGACGGTGTGGGGGCGGGACGGGATGGAAGCCGCGTAGCAGCCTAGAGAGAAGTGGGGATTAAGACCGAGCCCTTCCCTTGAGGAGGCCCCAGCCCTGTGACAGGCTGAAGGTCACTAGATAGGTTGCAGCATGGCCTTTCCTTGGCTCATTTAATATGTTCATTCTCAAGGGGAAGGGGAGGCTGGAATAGGTTCTTGGACAGGAAGAAAAGGTCTTTAAACAGCTCCCTGGGGGGGGGGGGGTGGTAATGGGGAGGGGTGTTGAGAAAGGCTGATCTAATCTGACTGATGAAGGCAGGCTCCCAGCAATGGGGTTTATTAGTTAAGCTGCCCATTCCGCAGGCATTTTCTTAAGCACTTGCTATTCTTAAGCACTTAAAGGGTGCCAGGCACCAAAGTCCCCCAGATAGATGAGACAGACCCCCTTCACTGACACCTTGAGATAAGTGCAGGGGGAGGTGAGAGGAGGGGCAGGAACTGCTCTGATTCACTGCATGTGCGTGGTGGGGGGAGGCCTGCCTCTGCGAATCTGAGCGGAGGTTTATTCACTAGGGTGTGTTTGATACCCACACACATTACTGCAGCCAGAGTCACTATGGGGGGCCTCGCCAGAGCATGTCTCCAAGGAAAGTTCGGCACTGCTGGAGACCCAGCCCCAGTGCTGGGGCCAGGGAAGGGACACATGGCCAGGGCGTGCCGTCTTTCTTGAGTGGACTTCCCGGGCTCTGCCGGACCTAAGCTCAACCCGTGTGTCCTCTGTCTTGGAGCTCTGCAGAGGCACCTGCCGAGTGGGGAGGGAGGGAAGGTGTGTTTGAAAGACAGGCGAGGATGGCCCCTGGGGATTGCCCCCATCAGTTATTCCCTAAACCAGCCCGTTCCAGTGGAAAGATGTCTGTCATGGGACACACTCCAAACCTGTGGGGAACCATGAATGTGCTGGAAACGAGACAGCCTTGATTCCTGTCCCGAGACTTAAGAACTCAGGCTGGGGGCACCTGGAGCCTGACTGGGGCAGATCTGGGAGCCAGGCTCCCGTCCCACTGCTGCTTTGAATTCTCTACACGGGACACACAGCTGGGCTCTGGCAAGAAGTGTGAGAGATGCCTGGAACCGAAGAGCAAAGAGATGTGTCCCGGATGCAGGGCTGAGAGATGCAAACCCGGACTAAGGAATGAACCCCCAGCCCCTGAAGGGCGTCTTGACTGGGCTGTCCTTTCTCCACATCCCCTTTCTGAATCTGTGATCAAGAGTCAGCATTTCCGGTTGCCAAAGATAAAGGGGTCTGGGAATCCACTCTTGGACTCATTAAACCCGGAAATGGAGGCCCGGGGTGGAAAACGGCGGCTGGAAAAGCCACTCTGGATAGAATTAATACAAAGGGAGAGGCAAGGAAGGCTAGTTGCAAGCTCTCAATCACAGTTGGCCATTTTTATTATAGAGCAGACAGTATTTGATTAACAAAATCAGAACATGCAGTGGATGTGTTACAGATGGGGTCTGATTTGTGCCTTGGATTCTCCCCTGCCCTGTGGTGTCTGTGCCACACCCCGCGCCTCCCCAGCCAGGCGGGCACGACCATGCTCTCCCTCCTTCCTTCCTCACTTCCCCAGAGCCTGCAGCCTCAACACTTACTAAGGAAAGAGAACTGAGGGATTGTTTAAGCAGGTGTCCCCTTCCTGCTGCCCCACAGTCCCCCTTGGTCCCCCCAGCCTGCTCCTCTACTGATGCCTGTGTTCCCAAATTTCAGCCTGCAAGGAGACCAACAGAAAAGGACTTTCTGGCTCCTACCCCAAACACTTCCTGGTAGGAGGCAAATGTGCGTTTGGTGTTAATTTGCCAGCAGCAGAGTGGGGAGGCCCCAGACGCCGCCTCTGTCTTTTTTATAGCGGTGGAGACTGGCACGTTTTCTCATTTGGGGGCAGGAGGGGGATGGAGGGAAGAGCCCAGCTCCCAGCGAATATCCCCCTCAAGGGACTTGGACCCCAGCTCACAGGAAGCAGGCCTGAGGTCCAGCATGGTTGGATGGTGACGAGGATGGATGGCAGGTAGCTAAGAAAGACAGATTCTCGCGGGTGCAGCATGTCTCAGAGATTCAGCGTGCCAGGACCTGGGCCAGGCTAATGGCTGGATCCGTTTTGATTAATATGTTAATTGGGGATTAATTCAGCATGACCCGCCCCTGAGTCAGCCCAGCTAGGAACCCTAACCCTGACAGATGAAACCGCACTGGCAGGGGAAGGGCAGTGTGGAGAGATCGAGGGTCCCCTCGACACCTGCTCGGAGTTAGAGAGTGACACAAGTTGAGAAGCGTTGAGGGAGAGAAACCAAGGCCCGAGGAGCTCAGGAGAGAAATGCTTTTCTTTTAGAAAGCTGCCTTGGAGGTTGTGTTAGTTTCCTCCTGCCACATATTACCACCAGTTTGGTGGCTTAAAGCAACATAAATTTATTATCTTACAGTTTTGGGGGATCATAACTCCAAAATGGGTCTCACTGGGCTAAAATCAGGGGTCAGCAGAGCTGTGTTCCTTCTGGGGGAGGATCCATTTCCTTGCCGTTTCCAGTTTCTAGAGGCTGCCTGCACCCTTGACCCCTGGCTTCGTGTCACTCCAACGGCTGCTTCCATCATCACATCTTCCCTGCCTCGGATCTTCCTGCCCGCCTCTTATAAGGACCCTTGTGATTACATTGGGCCCACCGGGTGATCCAGGATCATGTCCCCATCTCAAGATCCTCAATTTAATCACACCAGCAAAATCTTTTTTGCTCTGTAAGGTAACATATTTGCAGGTTCCGGGGATTAGGACATGGACGTCTTTGGGGGACCATTATACCGTCTACCATAGGGGCGTGCCTCATCAGTTTATGTTATGGATGGGGAAACCGAGGCCCAGCGAGGGAGTGACTTGACTTCAGTGCCAGGTGACGGGGAGAGCCAGCACTGAAGTCCCTGCTCTGGAAGGTGTTTTCTGCTTCACGTTCCTCCTCTGAGAAGGGAAATGTGAGGGGAGTTGTGGGGAGGTGCCAAGCTTGCTGCACAAAAGCCGCTATAGCAAACACAGAGCTGTTCCACTGTGCCAGGCGCAGCCCCAAGCCCTTATGAGGCGGATGCAATGATTACCCCAGTTTACAGCTGAGGACGCTCAGGCACAGAGAGGTGAAGTCACTTGAGTGAGGGTGCACAGCCTGTAAATGCTGAGCCAGAGGCCATACCCTAACCCCTGGCTGGTTCCTGTCTACACTACTGGAGAGCTCTTCTGCCCAGAGGCCAACTCAGAATTTGACAAAACCAGGGTTTTTGCTGATTTCTTACTCTGCTCTTGTGCAAATACACAAGAGGAATAAAGATGTTTCCCCCAACCGTGGGTAGTTGCCTGCTTTCCCCAAAGACGTTCCAAAAGCTTGTCCGTAGAAAATAGAGACAAGAGATTCTGTCCCTGGCTTGCTGCAGGTAGTGGACACACACACACGCACGCACACACGCACACACACACACACACCCAGGAACCAGGAATCTGGGGAGGCAGTAAAATACAGAGGTAAAAGAGGTTTGACTTGGAGTCTCACAGACCTAGTTTGATTCTGACTTCATCCTTTATCACCAGAGTCGTGAGTGTTCACTTCTCGAAGCCTCAGTCTCCTCATCTGTAAAATGGGGGTGTTAATGGTACTGCCTGCCTCTTGGAGAAGGACGTGGGCTCACACAATTAAAGCTCTTAGCACAGCCCCTGGCACTTAGTGAGTGTGCAATTAAGAGAGGCTGGTTGTTGCTGTTACAGCCCAGTGGGCGTGCAGCACTCTCTCCTCATCCTTCCCTCCCACTCGAAGAGGGACAGAGAGCTCGGTCCTAAGGGATGGGCATAGGACTGGAAGAGCAGAGTCAAGAGAGGCCAGTGATTTGTTGAAATCCTGGAGAGAAACCCAGGAGGTATTTTTGCAGTTGGGATCAAGACGCAACAGTTTCTGGAAACCTTTCGTGTCCTTGATGGGATGTGGCCATGGGGACGAGAGATCAGGTGACACTGCTAATTCCTGCAGCAAACCTCCACTCACCAGATCCTCATAACAGCCCTGGAAGGTAGGCACCCTTATCCCACCCTGTAAGAAGGAAACAGGCTCAGAGAGGGCCGGTGACTCAGGGGGTGCAGATGGCTGTCTCAGGCCAAAGGGTTATTAGTGGGATCAGCAGTGATGGCCAGGCCAGCCTGGCTTGGCCCTTCATCCA